CTCCTGGAGTTTGCTCAAACTCATGTCCATCGAGTCAGTGATGCCATCCAACCATCTCATCCTCTGTCGTCCCCTTCTCCTCCTGCCTCCAATCTTTCCCAGCATCAGGGTCTTTTCCAATGAGTCAATTCTTTGTATCAAGTGGCCAAAATATTGGAGTTTAAGCTTCAGCATCAGTCCTTTCAATGAACATTCAGGACTGATCTCCTTTAGGATGGACTGGTTGGATCTCCTTGAAGTCCAAGGGACTCTCAAGAGTTTTCTCCAACACCACAGTTCAAAAGCATCAATTCTTTAGCACTCAGCTTTCTGTATAGTCCAATTCTCACATCCATACATGACTACTGGAAAAACCATAGCTTTGACTGGATGGACTTTTGTCAGCAAAGTAATGCCTCCTCTTTTTAATATGCTGTCTAGGTTGGTCACAGCTTTTCTTCTAAGGAGTAAGTGTCTTTTACTTTCATGACTGCAGTCACCATCTGTAGTGATTTTGGAACCCAAGAAAATAAAGTCTGTCACTGTTTGCATTGTTTCTCCATCTATTTGCCGTAGATCCAGATGCCATGATCTTAGTTTTCTGAATGTTGCGTTTTAAGCCAACTTCTTCATTCTCCTCTTTCACTTTCATCAAGAGGCTCTTTAGTCACTGTTCATTTTCTGCTATAAGGGTGGTGTCATCTGCATATCTGAGGTTATTGATATTTCTCCTGGCAGTCTTGATTCCAGCTAGTGCTTCATCCAGCCTGGTATTTCTCATGATGTTCATTTAAGTTAAGTAAGCAGGGTGACAATATACAGCCTTTCCCTATTTGAAACCAGTCTGTTGTTCCATGTCCAGTTCTAACTGTTGCTTCTTGGCATGCATACAGATATCTCAGGAGGCAGGTCAGGTGTTCTGGTATTCCCATCTCTTTAAAAATTTTCCACAGTTTATTGTGATACACACAGTCAAAGGCTTTACTGTAGTCAGTAAAACAGAAGTTGATGTTTTTCTGGAACTGTCTTGCTTTTTCAATGATCTGACAGATGTTGGCAATTTGATATTGGTTTCTCTGCCTTTGCTAAATTCAAGAAGAAAATCTGGAATATCTCAGTTCACTTGCAGTTGTAGCCTGGCTTGGAGAACTTTGAGCATCACTTTGCTAGTGTGTGAGATGAGTGCAATTGTGCAGTAGTTAGAGCATTCTTTTGCATTGCCTACTTTGGGATTGGAATGAAACCTGACTTTTTCTAGTCCTGTGACTACAGCTGAGTTTTCCAATTTGCTGACATATTTAGTGCAGCCCTTTCACAGCATCATCTTTTAGGATTTGAAATAGTTCAACTGGAATTCCATCACCTTCACTAGCTTTGCTCGTAATGATGCTTCCTAAAGCCCACTTGACTTCACATTCCAGGATGTCTGGGTCTAGGTGAGTGATCATACCATCATGGTTATCTGAGTTATGAAGATCTGTTTGTATAGTTCTTCTGTGTATTCTTGCCACCCTTCCTTAGTATGTTCTGCTTCTGTTAGGTAACTACCATTTCTTTCCTTTTTTTGTGCCCATCTTTGCATGAAATATTCTATTGGTATCTCTCATTTTCTTGAAAAGATCTCTAATCTTTCCCGTTCTATTGTGTTCCTGTTTCTTTGCATTGATCACTGAGGAAGGCTTCCTTGTCTCTCCTTACTATTCTTTGGAACTCTGCATTCAAACGGGTGTACCTTTCCTTTTCTCTTTTGCTTTTCACTTCTCTTCTTTTCTCACCTATTTATAAGCCCTCCTCAGACAACCATTTTGCCTTTTGCATTTCTTTTTCTTGGGGATGGTCTTGATCCCTGCCTCCTGTACAGTGTCATGAACCTCCATCCATAGCTCTTCAGGCACTGTGTCTATCAGACCTAATCCCTCGAATCTATGTGTCACTTCCACTGTATAATCGTAAGGGATTTGATTTAAGTCATACCTGAGTGGTTTAGTGGTTTCCCCTACTTTCTTCAATTTAAGTCTGAATTTGGTAATAAGGAGTTCATGGTCTAAGCCCCAGTCAGCTCACAGTCTTGTTTTTGTTGATTGTATGGAGCCTCTCCATTTATGGCTGCAAAGAAATCAATCTGATTTTGGTATTGACCGTCTGGTGATGTCCATTTGTAGACATGTCCATTTGTAGTCCATTTGTTGTTGGAAGAGGTTGTTTGCTGTGACCAGTGCTATCTCTTGGCAAAATCTCCTAAAAACTTAAAATGTGAGAGTACTACAAATATATTAAATACCTATAGATTTGAATAAACCATCTTCTTGCTTTATTACATCTATTTATATTAGGAACTTAAATATATGATTTTAAAAGCTTGCAATTTAAGAGCTTCTATTGTTTACAATCTTTATTCTTTAATATAATACACTTTTCAAATAAATCAAGATTTCAAGTTTTTTGTATTACAGAACCATTTTTGGTTCATTGTCTAATATTATTTCTGGCAGAAACAGTCCTCTCCCCTGACACAAACATACACTTTGCAAACTGCTGAAAAACAGAGATTTTCTTGGTCATTTTTCTAATTTTCAAAGCAGTTAATAAACTTCTATCTTACACTATTTTTAATAAACTCTTTTCAATGACCAGGCTTTGGGTGTAATGAAAATATATTGATACAGAATGAATGTAAAATCTATGTAGAATGCCAATTACAAAGTTCTCCTAATGCATTAATAATAAATATTTATATATGACCATTTTCATCAGAAATAATAATACTCTGCTATATAATTATATATGTAAAATGGATGTATTAAATGAGATTTTTACTATGCTTAGAGGATTCTAGAAAATAATATTTATAAATCTTCTCAGAAACTAAAGCAAAAATATGTAATATAATTTGACATAATATACAAGCTCATGTGTGTTACATTTTATGTTGAATACATCTTGTATGTATATATTATTTTCATTTTCATATAGTATATTTAAAAATTTATTAGTTTTTTCATGTAGTGAAAGAAGTTTATAATAAATAATAAATTAAAAGATCATTGTGCAGTGTGCTAGGAGAAAATGGCATCTGAAATCAAAATTATTTTTAATTAACATAAACAGAGATGGAAATGTAGATTAATACAACTCATTCCGTGTTTTACAGGAAATATTGATGAAGCAGAACGAGAATGGAAAGCAGGATTCCATCGCTGGAACAATTACATGATGGATTGGAAAAATCAATTTAACGATTACACTAGCAAGAAAGAAAGCTGTGCAGGTCTCTAATTAATAGATTTACCTTTTATAGAATGTTCATTTTCCTGTAGATCAAGGCAAAACTATCATTGGCTCTCTTACACTTCTGGTAAGAAAGCTATTATGTATAAAACAAAAATGCCAAAAGGATAAAATCAATTCCTCTCTTCTTTCACTTAGTATTGTACCTAGCATTTCAAAACCCAAATGGCTAGAACTAGTTTAATTAAATTTCACATTATAAAGTATGACAATTAATTATATGCATATTAAAATGATTTGCAGCTTCAAATTCTCTCTTTCCTGAATAACTTTAAGAAAAATTTTTCCCTAAAACATATCTGAGTTCTGTTTCCAATCTCCAATTTATTTTTATTACCACTGATAAAATATATTTTTTAAAAATGGATGGGAGGTCTTGAAACATTACATACTGTGATTTACAATATTATTTCCTTTTAACTAATTTATGCATTTAATGTTAACATGATACATTAAAACAAACAAAGTAATTGGCTGCTTTGGTTTTTCTTTTATATGAAGGCAAGAAAATTTACTTAAGAGAATCTTAAAATAAGAGGCTTGATCACTTGGAATCATCTAATAATAGAAACAAAATGTCACAACCAAAAGACAAAATGTAAAAGAATACAATTACTTATATTTTGAATTTTTTAAAGATGTGTATGCTTATAGTCCTCAAATTATATTCCTGTTCTTTCAACTTTTTTCTTTCTCACATCCTCACTCCTCAACTTTCCCCAAACATGTCCACATGTAAATTATTCTTCCTGTAATGCAAAAATTATGTACTATCTGAAACATCCCTTGACTGGACCCGCATATATCAGGATTTTAGTAAAGAAATTGTTCAATTAAAAAAAAAGATTATATTTTCTTCAGATAAATGATATTGTTTTATAATTTTAAAAATTACAAATCTGCATTTACTAACTTTCATGACAAGGGAACATATCCCATGAATAAATTCACTGTCTTTCATTAAAGGGACGATGTCAGGAGATTTTGAATCCCAGGAAAGAGCAGCACTGTTTTTGTTTGTTTTGCTATTTTCCTTTGTCTTAAATGGCCATCACCTCTTTTCTCTTTTTTTAAACAGTTGTATTGATTTTTTTCAGGCTGTGCTGGGTCTTCGTTGTTGTGTGGGCTTGCCTCTAGTTGTGGCAAATGAGAGCTACTATTCTTTGCAGTGCACAGGCTTCTCATTGCCTGGACACAGGCTCTAGGGCACATGCCCTTCAGTAGTTGCAGCTCCCAGGCTCTGGAGCACGGGCTCAGGAGTCACCCTGCACAGGCTTAGTTGCTCTTAGCATGTGAGATATTCCCGGATCAGACCCGTGTCTCCTGCCTTGGCAGGTGGATTCTTTACCACTGAACTACCAGGGAAGCCCAGGGCAGTATTGTTGATTATGCTCATTAAGCACTGAGAACTAGTTCTCAGTATAAAGACATGCCTGAGTGACTAACACAGCAAACAGAATTTGCTTATTTGGCACTAAGTAATAATAATAATTCAGATGCAAGATGACTAATCAGACTTTTAATTTCTGTTTCCCATCGCACTTTTCATTTTAAAAGTATTGACTATTTTGTGAACTCTCAAAAATATGGACAAGCAATCATTCTTGCCAGGCTCAGAAAGAGATGCTACTAGGATTAATTACATAATGATGATTAAACTAAGTAGGTGAATACAACAACTTGCTTCTCTCCTCAGAAGCATTTGCAGAAGTCTTTTGCTTGAGGCAATTACTATATTACCTTGTTTTTCTGAGTTAGGCATTCTGTTCTAATTATTTTTGATTTCCTTCAGTGGTTAGGGGAGAAAAAGCAGGAATAGAGAGGATTTATCAAAGAAGCCTCTGGATAACAAACTATAAAAATGTATTTAACAGTGTTAAACACCATTCTAAAATCCTTGAAGTAACTATATCAAGAGAATGATCTAAAAATAAGAGAGATAGAATGATCTATCAATCTACCTTTTATCTATCTATCATCTATTAATGATAACTGCTCCTAATTTTAGTCAAAGGGAGGGATAAAAGCCAGAGGATGCTACTAGTATACCTAATACAACCTGGAATATAAATTCAAAGTCATTGCCTTGACCAAGATAGACTTACTGTTCCCCTCAGCTTGACTAAGCTTTAGACAGATTTCCTTCTGGCTGTGGGCCTCTGACTTCCAGTTTCTTAGAGAATTTGCTTCAGAAATGTTGCCATTGTAAATTCTTTCTCTGCCCCTTTGAAATGTGTATAAATCTCTCAGCCTCTTGTCAGTTTTACTACCCATGAAATGTCTTTCTCAAGGACCTGGGAACTATTACTTTGAAATTAAACATTAAAAGAGATAGTGGCTCCATCACTCAGTCTCGATGGGAATATAGGAGCCTAACTTCTTTGGGAGCCAATTACCAAACATTGATGGCTTAATCCCCGAAGAAAACATTGCAAACTCAAGAATAACTCTATGTGCTCAACATATCCCATTGGTCAGCCCTCCCGCAGAGTCTGCCAGTACTTTTCTACTAGCTCACCTCAACACGTAAAAACCTTCACATCTTTTATTTCAGAGAAGTTGAGTTCTGTCTCTCTCCCCATTTGCAACTGTTGTTATTGTTGTTCAGTTGCTCAGTCATGTCTGAGTCTTTGCAACACCATAGACTGTAGCATGCCAGACTTCCTTCTCCATCACCATCTCCCGAAGTTTGCTCAAGCTCACATCCTTTGAGTTGATGATGCCATCCAACCATCTCATCCTCTGTTGCCCCATTTTCCTACCTTCAATCATTCCCAGCATCAGGGTCTTTTCCAGTGGTTCATCTCTTTGCATCAGGTAGCCAAAGTGTTGAAGCTGCAGCTTCAGCACCAGCCCTTCCAATGAACATTCAGGACTGATTTCCTNGACAGAGGATGAGATGGCTGGATGGCATCACCGACTTGATGGACATGAGTTTGAGTAAACTCCAGGAGTTGGTGATGGACAGGGAGGCCTGGCGTGCTGCGATTCATGGGGTCGCAAAGAGTCGGACATGACTGAGGAACTGAACTGGAACTGGACTGGACCATATTAGATAATACAAGTATTTTCTTGCAGCAGATATTCTTCAGAAAGGGTATTCCCTAATGAAGAGGGGAGTAAAATTTGAATTTATGAGGTTTTGACTATCTACTTTTTAGTAAATTTTTTCTGATATCTTTTAGACCTTAGTCACATATGATAATTTTCATTCTCATGTTAATCTTGATATTTTGGCATTTTTTGTTTTTTAGCATTTCATAATATTTCATGATATTCTCTTTTCTACTTGACATCAAATTTAAGTTTTCTTGGTTATATTCTTCTCATAGAATGGCTGAGGACAAATGGATTCACTCATTTTGCATGCGGGCTTTCTTTTTTCTTCTTTCCTCTCATCTTTTTTTTCTTTTCCATGAATGCAGAAAATAGATACAGATTCTTGTGTTGTGGTCTAGGAATCACAGGTGATATAAAGGACTGTGTATATATTTTTAATGCAAATTTTCATTATTATACTGTTAGGCCTTTGGGATGAAAAAATATTATTTTCTAAGAAAAAAGGTATCATGAAGAATAACAAACTTCAAGAATCATATTGCAAGGACCCCTTTGAAGGCACTGTGTGTAATTTTATTTTTGCTAAAGACTTTCCAGAAGGGCAGGAGTTTCAGGAAAAGCAAAATTAGTTTAGTTTCTGTTTTTCAGTGCATCAATGGAAATGCATCTTTAGTCTATAGCCTCAGGCACAAAACATTTTTAGTCCAAGAGGACTCTGCCTCCCTCCACTGCCTTTAAAGACATTCCACCAATTTTCTTTAGTTGAAATGTGCTATCATTGTTTTACAACATTGTAATATGCTAATTTTGAAGTTACTATCTTTGTGCAAGGTAATAAGTGAGTAAAAACTCAAATGCTAACATCTGCTGTGGCATTTCAATTTTAAACCAAATGTGTGTATAATATTCTCTTTGGTAAGTGAATTAACATTTTCACATAACCATGAAAGATAAAATTTTAATAATCTCCCTTGGAGTTTTCTCTTTGAAGTCATGTGCAAAATATTAAGTGAGAAGAAGAACAGAACACTAGTTCTTTCTTATAAGATTATTGAAGTTTTCAAAGATAGAGAGTGAATACCATGTCCTTCCTCTCAGCTCACCTGGAGTTACAGTCAGTTCTGAGAGGCAGCAATTTACTTAGAGTAGATTGAAGTCTACAAAAAATGCCTTAAATTCCAGAGCACCTATGGTTCTTGATCAATGGTTGACACTGCTGTACAGAATTCTACTCTTTAATGCATATTTTTCAATGCCTGAAAAAACTTTTTCTAGGATGTCTTTCAATCATCTTTTCAACCTCTTTTTGACTATCTCTATCCCTTGGAAGAAGAAATATTCCAACTATGCTAATATCTTAATTAAAAATATTTTATTTATCATATTACATTATCACTCCAAGGCATGTCAATTTCAGTAAAGTCTGTCTTGGATCACATCTAAAGAAATGGAGTAATAGAATATTTTGGGACACTGTCCCATTGAAGTTCAGGCAGAGGGAACAAATGAGAAGGTCTTATGGAGATTTCCTCACTTACTATGTTTAGGGAACAGGAGACAGCAATGGCAGCCCACTCCAGTACTCTTGCCTGGAAAATCCCATGGATGGAGGAGTCTGGTAGGCTACAGTCCATGGGGTCGCTAAGAGTCGGACACAGCTGAGCGATTTCACTTTCCCTTTTCACTTTCATGCATTGGAGAAGGAAATGGCACCCCACTCCAATGTCCTTGCCTGGAAAATCCCAGGGACGGGGAAGCCTGGTGGGCTGCCGTCTATGGGGTCGCACAGAGTCAGACACGACTGAAGTGACTTAGCAGCAGCAGCAGCAAAAGGTCTACCCTGCTGGAAGAAATAAAGGAGGGTGATAGGAAATGAGGTGGAAACTGATGAGAAAGGCAGATGGCAAGTCATCACAGGGCACTGAGCAGATTGAGTAACACAATCATAATCATACTTTTTTTTTTTTTTTAGAAGGAGCACTCTAATTCTTTGCAGGCTAAACTATAAAAAGGCAAGAGTGGGCATCAAGGAAGCTGTTTAATTATCCAGGTAAGAGAAAAGAATGGTGTGTAGTTAGTTAGTAGCTACTGAGAAGTAAGAGGTATTATATTTATAATATTTGTAAGCAATAGCCAACAGGATTCACTAAAAGTGAATATTTGGTTTAATTTATAATATCACCACTTAAATATATTTTCCTCAACTCCATAGAATTCTCTACAAAATGAAAGTCTACGAGCAACTAGATTCTTATTTTAATGCTTATAATCTGTATCTTCTGTTTGTGTATTTTGCAAGACTTGCATGTGCAAGCAAACATACATCTAATTCATAGGCTAAATAATGGACATCCCCAAATGAAAGCCACTTCCTAATTCCTGGCATTTGTAAAGGTTGCCTTATATTTCATAAA